TATGGGATTCCCTGCCTAGGACATTCTTAGCTTTGTTGTCTTTCCGATATGAGAGTCCCTGCCTAGGACATTCTGCAGTTTTTCCTGTAAAGTTCAGCTCTTATTCCCAGGGGCCTAAGATAGCTGTACTTGTGCTAATGCTAAACTTGAGGTGGAATGGCCTTAATTTTTCTCGGCCTCCACATATATGTCATCCTAAACTTGAGGAGAAGGGTATAGGAATCTGGGGCTTCAAAGAGGAGGACAATTTACAGAAAGGTGAAAAAGAGCAAGTGCTTGGTAAACAAATGTTTGCCGGGCCATACAGAAAGAGTGTGACATAGGGGGGAATCTTAACAGATTTTACCAAGTTTCCTCCTGTCTACTACACCTAGTTTATATTCTATTGTCATTTATGGTGATAGCTCCCTTCCTCGGACAGGTCCTTGATCTAAATTCTTTTAGGTAGTTAGGGGGAAAGTCAAAGGTTCTTCTTGAGGCTTCTGTTTCTTAAAAATAATCAGCCTAAAATCCACATGCCAAAGAAACACATTTTGGAGTGGCAAATTTTTCTTCTCTACAATCCCTTTTAATACTAGTTACATTGTGTTTTTGTTATGTTTTTTTCAAAATCAATTTCTTAAACTAAAATTTTTTTGAGATATAGCATATTGTAATAACTCAGACTATATAGAAAAGTTTTCAAATGAAGACAGTCTATTTCATTTCTTCTCATCTTATCCTTCCCTACCTCAATTCCATTGTCCAGAAGCCACCTTCCAGCATAAGAAATGGAACATAACCTATACTCTGGAAGGGTCCCACCATGCCATTTACCTTCTCCTTTTTTTTCTCTTCCTTGCCCTGGAGGTATTCACTCTCCTAAATTCTGTTTATTGCTCCTTGTTTTTCAATTCTACCCCATATACATGGGCCATAACTGACATGGTTTCATTTTGCATGTTTTTTTTTCTTCTGTTTTTCTAGTTTGTTTTTTTTTTTTTTTTTTCAATGCAGGGCTTGAACTCACAACCTTGAGATCAACACTTGAGCTGAGATCAAGAGTTGGACACTTAACTGACTGAGCCATCCAGGCACCTCTCATTTTGCATGTTTTCAAAGTTAATATACATAGTCATGTTATATATATATACCATTTTGTGACTCACTTTTGTGACTCAATTGTGTGTTTTTGAGATACATTTATGTTAATAGCTGCAGCTATAGTGTATTAGTTTTCATTGCTGGATAGTTGGTCATTATATAAATATACCACAGATTATTTACCCATTGTACTCTCCGTGAACTTCTACCACCTCTTTTCCTTTTTTTTTTGTTTTTGTTTTTTGTTTTTTTTGTTTGCTTTTCAAGCTCCTTTCATTATGGACTGTTTATTCCTGTATGGCATCTTATTTATGAGGATTATAATGATTTTTTTTTCCTACTTGACCTCATTCTGGGCCCTACTAAAGTTTTCAGACATTCAGCCTGTATTCATCTATGGAATCTTTTTGGTGAAGGCAGCTATGGACTGTCATAGAATGTTAATTCTTTGAGAAGGCAAGGGCTCCTTATTTTCAAAGAAATTTTAAATATGGTTAGTTAAAACAATAATGAGTGAAACACTTCATGTAACTTTTAATATTCCTAACTCACTCTGTAAAAATAGCTTATTAATTTTAATTGATCACATACTAAAAAGTATAAAATTATTCAAATTACATTTCTGATGTTTATATCAGCATTATGAACAATTGACAAATTATAGAAAGAGCCCAAATGTCCATCAACTGATGAATGAATAAAGAAGATGTGGTATTATATATATACAATGGAATATTACTCAGCCATCAAAAAGAATGAAATCTTGCCATTTGCAATGTGAATGGAGTGTATGATGCTAAGTGAAATAAGTCAGAGAATGACAAATACCATATGATTTCACTCATATGTGGAATTTAATAAACAAAACAGTTGAACATAGGGGAAAGGGGAAAAGACAAAAGAGGGAAGCAAACCATAAGAGATTCTTAACTATAGTGAACAAACTGAGGATTGACAGAGGGAGGTGGATGGGGGATGGACTAAATGAGGGATGGGTATTACGGAGTGCACTTGCTGTGATGAACATTGGGTATTACATGTAAGTGATGAATCACTTAATTCCACTCCGGAAACCAATATTACATTATATGTTAACTACCTATAATTTAAATAAAAACTTGAAACAAAACAAAAAGAAAACTCAAGCAAAAAACACCAAGTTACATTCCTGAAAAGTCCTAAAAGAATTTTGTATCAGGTGGTTGTATATGGTCAGAAAAGACAGGTGGTACTTGTAAGGTTGAAAACTGTTTCTTATCACCAGGACCTCCAAGTCTTGATTTTCAACCAGTAGAAGTAATTCAAGTTAGCCCCCTCAAGTTAATTATTGACAATTACAGCTGTAAAAAGTGAAATACTGTGCCGTTTCACCTGTGACTGACAGCTGTGTGAATCTAGATGGTTACATTATGTACACAAACACAAAAAGCTTGGAGATGATCCACTATAAATCACAGCAGTACTTCAGGACAGTAGTTTCCTGGGACAATATAGTTTCTTTTCAATTTCTTCCTTTGAGCAATTAACATTTTAATTGGATTTTTCAAATCATTACAACAAAATGTTACTCTTTTCAGGCTAATTAGGGGACATGCCATTAAAGAAAAAAGTGTTCAAATAATGCCCTGACCTGCAATTATTAGGTTGGCCAATTAGAGATTTAAATTTATAGAGTTAATTTGCATGACATCATAAATGTGCTAAAAGACATCAAAAGTTAGTGTTCTAAAAAAGAGTTAAATAGGACACATGTTTTAGCAAAAAAAAAATGGGCTTTAATTTTTTTCATTTAGTATCTGTAACAATAAGCATCAATTTAACATTTCTTTTGTGCCAAGAACTGTTCTAAGTGCTTTCTATATATTTATTAATTTAATACTTCTTCAAATTCTATAAAGGAGGCAAGAAGTTTTTAGCACTGCATTTACAGATGAGGGAATTAAATCACAAAGGGAGGGGCACCTGGGTGGCTCAGTCAGTTAAGCATCTGCCTTTGGCTCAGGTCATGATCCCAGTGTCCTGGGATCAAGCCTCCTGCCGGGCTCCCTGCTCAGCAAGGAGTCTGCTTCTTGTTCTTCCTCTCCCCCTACTCATGTTCTCTCTCTCTCTCTCTCTCTCTGTCTCAAATAAATACAATTAAAAAAAAAAACAGAAAGGGAATTTGCCCACATTCACACAGTTAATAAGGGGTTATTCTAATTCATATGGTTTCATAATAAATTCATATGTTGAATTATTAATTCATAAATCCATATGCTGAAATCCCAACCACCAGTACCTCAGAATGTGACTTTATTTGGAAATAGGTTCATTACAGCTGTAATTAGTTAAAGTAAGATGAGGTCATACTAGAGCAGGGTGGGTCTCTGATCCAATATGACTAGTATCCTTCTAAAGAGGGGCAATTGGGGCATAGACACGCACACAGGGAGGATGCCATGTGAAGGTGAAGCAGAAATGGGGTGATGCTTCCACAAGCCAAGGATGCCAAAGATTGCCAGGGAAGCCACCAGAAGCGAAGGGAGAGGCATGAAACAGTTTCTCCCTCACAGTCTTCAAAAGGAAGCAACAACACTGCTGACACTTTGATCTCAGACTTCTGGCCTCCAGAACTGCAAAAATAAATGTCTGTTGCTTAAGCCCCTGAGTTTGTGGTACTTTGTTAACCTAAGCCTTGCAAAGTAATACAGGGGTGGAGTCAGGATCAAACCCAAGCGGGAAGGCTGCAAGATTGGTGTGCTTATCACCTCACTCTCTGCCTCTCTCATAACAGAACAAATCAAAATAAAAACAGACACCGACACGGAGCAAATAAATGGCACAGGAGTTACCAGCTTTCAAATCTAGGCAGAGGAGCAAAACACTGACTACTCTTTTCCTGTGTCCCTACCATGTAGGGGACCTCTTCTTCTCTACCCTTTAAGTTAAGGGGTTGTTTCAGCAGTGGCTCCAGCCAGATATTTTTCCCAGATCTACAAGTCTAAATCTACTCAGCCCACCTGTGGGACTTTGAGCCTGTGCCCCCCTACTTGGCTTCAAAATCCAAAGTTTTAATAGATTTTTGAAAGCAGGACCATCATTTTGTTAGTAATATCCACATATGTGCTATTTCCTTTGGATTAAAAAGATTTTATTTTAAGGGGTGCCTGGGTGGCTCAGCGGTTGAGCCTCTGCCTTTGGCTCAGTTCGTGATCCTGGGGTCCTGGAGTCGAGTCCTGCATTGGGCTCCCTCTGCCTGTGTCTCTGCATAGGTCTCTCTGTGTCACTCATGAATAAATAAAATCTTAAAAAAAATAATAAAAAAGATGTGACCTACAGGTGACAGTCGCAACAATGGCCGTCCTAGTAGTCATATAAAGCTAATAGTGACAAGGAAAGGAAAAGGCTGTACAGATGGCTGGGTGACCTGGCACCGGGCCATGGACAGGTATCTTTGCGGAGTAAGTTCTGAACTGTGAGCGAACTCTGGGCCCGGGGCCACGAGCCCTGAAATCGGGAAAATCAGGAGAGTTTTGGGGCTGAGGGGGAACTTCAACCAGACCCGTGCCTCCTGAGAGCAGCCGGTGCCGGGTGGGGGCGGTCAGGGTCAGGGTCAGGGTCAGGGTCAGGGTCAGGGGGAGGCATACACCTGCGTGGAGGCAGGACTGGGGACCACTCTGCTTCTGGGGGTGGGGGGGATGGCTCTGAGGGTGTCGAGCTGCTTCTGCGCCTCTGGCGGGGGGCGCCTGGCGGCCAGCACGGTGCTCCTGGGCACCAGCCCCAGCTGCCAGCCCAAGGCCCCGGTGGGCGCGTCAGGTGGGCTCCCGGCTGCGATTTCCTGCGGCGCACCTAGGCCACGAGGGCGGCGCATCCCTCCCCGCGGAGAGTGGGAGAGGGAGCCGGGGCGCTGGTTTAGTTCAAGCGCCCGGGACCCCGCGGGGCGGGACCACACGGCCCCCAGCTAGCGGCGGGCCTAGGCCGGCGCTCGGGAGAGGAGGAGGAGGAAGCCCAGCGGGAGGGGCGGTCCACTTCCTGACTCGCCTGCAAACCGGAGGCCCCAGCTCAGTCCGCGCCGCGCCGCGATGTCCGCAGGGTCAGCCAGGAGCCTGGCGAAGGGTGAGGCGCGCCGGCCGGGGGCCGTGTGGGGGGGGGTCCCGGGGCTCCAGGCCGCCCCCAGCCGCCCCCAGCCGCGGGGCCTGGAGTGGCTGCTCCGGAGCCGCCTGGGGCTCCCTACGGGGCGGGGGGGGGGGGCGCACCGGGCCGGGCCGCAGCGCGCGGGACCTCTCGGCGGCCCTGGGCGGCGGGGGGATGGGGCGCCCGCCGCTCTCGGGAGCTCACCGCCTCCGCGTCTGCCCCGCAGGAAGCGCGCCCCCGGGGCCGGTCCCCGAGGGCCTCATCCGCGTCTACAGCATGAGGTTTTGCCCGTTCGCCCAGAGGACACTCTTGGTCCTGAAGGCCAAGGGGATCAGGTAAGGGCTCGGGTGGGAGCCGTTCCCCCAGCCGGCCTGGCAGCAGCTGCTGGGGTAGGGGGCGGCCGGGTGGGCAATCTCAGGGCCCCACGGTCTTCCCTTCCTGCAAAATAAACTATTCTCGGACTTTTGGAGGACACAGCAAATTATGAACCCACTTCCCAGGTGAGGGGTGGGGGGACTGCCACAGATTACACCAGTCTGGGATACCCCATTTCCATCAACCTAACCATTTTATGGATCTGAAAAGCTGAGGTTCTCATGAAGTCGGTGGTAGGCCGAGATCCCTTGACAGGTAATGACCAGCGGCCGCTCTTTTAGCTCTGGTAGATCACTGATTCCTGGTTCACTGTCCTTTTGCTTTCACTACCCTTGTACATTAATGCCCATCTTACATGATACTGTTTGCTGTTATTCTGATTATATAGTCCCTTCCCTAATAGCTGGCAGTTTACCCCAGTGCAGAGTCCAAGCCTTGACCTTCAGGCAGGGTGCTGAGTCACTATACTGTACATATTTCTGTAGCTTGGGTTGTTGAGTCAAAGTGTATATGCTTAAAAATTCAATCTTTTGTGAAGCCTCTTTGCAATTAAAGTTTTTAAAAAGATTTATTTATTCATGAGAGACAGAGAGAGGCAGAGACACAGAAGGAGAAGCAGGCTGCTCACAGGGAGCCTGACATGGGATTAGATCGGATCACATCCTTTTTTATTTTTTTTTTAAGATTTTTTTTAAAAAAATATTTATTCATGAGAGGCAGAGAGAGAGAGAGAGAGAGAGAGAGAAAGGCAGAGGCACAGGCAGAGGGAGAAGCAGGCTCCATTCAGGGAGCCCGACGTGGGACTTCCAGGATCAGGCCCTGGGCTGAAGGCAGCGCTAAACCGCTGAACCACCCGGGCTTCCCAAAACCAAATAGTTTTTGAGTATTGGTTATCCATGGGGAATATACAACAGTCACATGGCTCCTGACACCAATATCCATTGGAGTTGCTCTCCTTCCAATGATCTTTGGAATCTGTTGAGCAGACATTAGGTACCTGTGGTAAAGAAGTTTAAAACATAGTCCTCATTCTTAAGAAATTTTCTATCCATGTGCTTAGGGTTTATAAACTAATTTTAGTATTCTAGGGAAAGAATTAGGGAGACAATAATTTTCCCTAAAAGAATGTAAGATACGTTCCAAAGAAAAAAATATATTTTCAGATTAGCCATCACTTCACTAAAATTTGCATCTTATTCGGATGAAATTGATCCTGAACACATAGAAAATATTCAACATTTAGTAACATTTATCCAGAATGTTATGTTTTATCCAAATACTACAATATTTTCCATATTAGAATTTCTTGTAATAAGAAATTAAGAGTAATCCTATTCAAATAGGATTGAAAAAAGATATATCTTGTGCTCATGTAATTGAAAAGTACAGGAGCAAAGAACAGCTGGACTGGGAAACATAAAGTCCTGATTTATGTGCCCCTCTGGAACTCTAGGTTGAAAACAACCCTACCTTATTTACTGGGATAGTTTTCTAAAGGAAAAATTGAACTGATTTATAGTGTGTGTATGGGGGTGGAGAAAACAGTTGGCAGGTAGTGCAAACAACAGAGGTCTTCTACATTCATGGACCAGTTTTTAGTTTGATGCCCAGAAGACTTTTGTTAGAGAGGTGCTAGATTTTTGCTACATGGTATCACCTAACAAAGCGTGGTTTTCTCTAAAGTGCATATTCCAATTTGTTACGGCAGGTGTGCTGACTTGTCGGCTCATAATGTCAGGTTACCAAATGCATGTGTGTTCTAAGAACCTTCTTTATCACAAAAGCCAGGCTCTACCTTTTGTTTTCATGGTATAAGATTTCAGAAATGTTAATTCCTTGGCAGGGATTGGCCTTGGATTTCTTTCGATGACTCGTAATCTGTCAGCACACGAACCTCTATATACACAAATGTATACTAGTGTTCAATCCAGCCCTTCTTGTTTCCATGGGGGATTACATATTTAAATCCTCAAACTAAACACTGTTCTAATGACTGAGGTGGATGGGGAAATAGGAAACAAAAGGTGTTGGAGTATATTATTTTTTAGTAACTAACTTGTTCTATTGAACACTTACCCAGCTTGGACAATTACATGGACCTGGCTTTAACAATTATATGAAACTTTCCTTTCTCTCATTTCCTCTACAATCTCTCAGGCAGGAAACAAGTTAGATCTAGTTACAGTCTGAATACAGCTTGGATTTCATCTGGTTTCTTCCCTTTTGGTTTGCTTAGTGTGATTTACCCACGTAACATTTAAAGATTTTATTTATTTATTCATGAGAGACACACAGAGGCAGAGATATAGGCAGAGGGAGAAGCAGGCTTCTTGAGGGGAGCCTGATGGTGGGACTCGATCCCAGGACTCCCGGCATGACCTGAGCCAAAGGCAGATGCTCAACCACTGAGCCACCCAGGCATCCCTACCCATGTAACATTTTAAAAAATATCAGTGCATGGACATTTAATCTGAAACTTTATATTGTGGGTGGATTTTTTGGATTCTTTAATAACCTTCTTTTCAATTTAGCAAAAGGAATTGAATTTTATCACATTGATTCTCATATAGTAAGTAGTGAATACAATTTGGCTAGTTACCTTATATAATTTACAATTAGAATACTGCTTAGTCCAAAATGGGGTATGTTATTGACAATCTTGAAGCATTTCCCACTCATTCATTCATTCATTCATTCATTCATTCAACAAATATTTACTCAACCCTATCCGGAATCATTTTTATTGTTTTCATAGGATTTAAATGTATTTGAAATTTTATTCTTGTACATGTTTATTAATATGAACAAGGTGTTGTGTCCAAGATTGCGAATCCGCGAAACCACCAAGGAGCCAACACCGATACAAACACACGAGGGCTTATTTACAAGCTCAAGCTTGGGTCCAAGTGTACCCGACACAGTGGAGCAGGGACTTGGACCCCGAGGCTAAGAGGTGTAGCAGCTTTATAGGGGCCAGTGGCCAATGGGATTGTAACATATGCAGAAAGTTGCACAGTCATGTCAGTCCACATGCAGGTGGCCAGTTGAATTACATCTTACCCTATAGTATCCATTTGAGCTGGCCTATTACTTTGGTCAGAATTGGCGCCAGTTTTGGTGGGCACAAGGCAGAGTTACATTGTTATGAGCCGATTTCCAATAAGGGTGTGCTCAGCGGCTGGACTAGGGTGGGGCAGCGCCTTAAGCAATAAGCAGGTCATGTGGGGGTGATACAGGAGGTGGCAGGTGTAGCACAAAATGGAGTTAGTCCTGCTCTGCTTGTCCAGGGGCAGGGGATTTTTGTTAAATTTCCTGGGTCCCACATTCACCCCTTTTTTCAGAGGATCCTATGCAGGACCCAATCATGGGGTCTGGGTTTCTGTCAAAAGAGGCAGTGGTTGGTATTGTTGCCTGAGTACCATGAGTTGGACTGTATTGACTCGGTCCTTGACAAAAGCTACTTGTCTATTAATGAGGCAGGGTCCGAAGGTTAGGAGGAGGTGGATGACGAGTGGGCCAGCTAGGGAGGATAACATGGTAGTCAGCCAGGGGGAATGATTAAACCAGGATTTGAACCAACCTTGTTGCTGTTCTCGCTCCTATTTACATTTCAGTGAAGAAGCAACATTCTACGTTTAAGGCAGCACATAACCCCCCCCACACACACACCCTTTGTTGTAAGAAGACTAAGTCTAATCCGCTTCTATTTTGAAGGACAACCTCAAACTAGGGAGTCTTGGAGGTGGGAAATAAGTGAGAACGGCGCAATCTTAGCTTTAGGGGATCGTCCTTGTCCCACTGGCTTTTCCATTCTGGAACAAAGTCCTTGAGAATGGCATGTGGGTCAGCTGGCAGGACGTGGGTATAGTGGACCCAGGGAGTAATCCTTTCGACCTTGAGAGCCGTGGGAGTGGTCAGGATCACGATATAAGGTCCCTTCCAGCGAGGTTGAAGTGTCTGGTGTTGGTATCTCTGCATGTACACCCAGTCACCTGGCCGATATCTATGGGGGTCCGAGGGTGGCCCAGTCTCATAGAGGGCCCTCAGCTTAGGCCACACCTGCTCATGGGTTTGTTGTAACATTTGGAGGGAGAAAAGAAGTTGGTGATCATCAAATTTAGCAAGCACCTCAGGTTTTAAATTGGGGATAATAGGTGGAGGAAGACCGAACATGATCTCGTAGGGAGTCAGTCCCATCTTATATGGGGAATTCCTCACCCTATATAGGGCAAAGGGGAGGAGAGTCACCCAGTCCCCGCCAGTCTCCAGGGCTAATTTAGTTAAGGTCTCCTTTAATATTCTGTTCATCCTCTCTACCTGTCCTGAGCTCTGGGGCCTATATGCACAATGTAATTTTCAATCTGCCCCAAGTATTTGTGCCACTCCCTGTGTTACCTTAGAGATGAATCCTGGGCCATTGTCTGATCCAATCCTAACAGGAAAACCATACTTCAGTAAGATGTCTTCCAGCAGGTTCTTGGTCACGGTCTGTGCCGTTTTATGTTTGGTGGGAAATGCCTCTGTCCATCCTGAAAAAGTATCTACAAACACTAGTAAATACTTGTACCTATATTTTCCAGGTTTTACCTCAGTGAAGTCCACTTTTCAGTAGGCTCCTGGGCGGTCCCCTCGGAGCCGGGTGCCCGGGTTAGATCCATGGGCCGTGGCATTAGTTAACTGGCATGCGTGGCAGCTTGCCACAATCTGCTCGATCTTTGCTCGAGAGTCTTTAATAGTGATCTTTGCATGTCATATGAGGTCTCCCATCTTCCTCCTTCCCATGTGAGTGCTCCGATGCATTCTGGATAGGACTCGCCGTCCTAGTTCCTCTGGCAAGATGATGCTGGAGTCTGCGGCCCTCCACCAGCCACATAAGCACTGGGTCATAGGCAAGCGTTTGATCCAGTGTAAATCAGCATCAGTATAGTTGGGGGTGTCCTGCAGGGTCGGTGCCCCCGGA